CCGAGAAGCCCCAGGTGGGCGGTGAGGATGTGCCGCTCGGACTGGCAGAGGGTGGCATCTGCCCTGACAGCAGTTGGAGAGGAAAGTTGGGGAGTGCCAGGAGGGAAGCGGGTGACGAAGCGTCTCTTGCTCCTCGCCCTGTGGAAGTGCGCGGTGTCTCTGGTAGCGCCAGTCTGCCTGTTCATAAAAGCACACTGAGTCCCGCGGTAACGTACGGTCTTTGATCTCCCGCCCCGTGCCCTGAGGCTGCTGGGCCTCGCCAGACCCGAGGCACGGAGCTCTGTGCCGCTGTGCGAGGGTGGTTTGCGGCAGGTCCCCTTCCAAGACGTATTTCTGTGGCCCTGCACGGGTCTGGTATCGCAACATGGGCATTCCCAGAATTTAGCGAAGGAGGGAGCCTGAGATCCCGGAGCCTGTCCCCAGCCGTGCCCGTGCCACGCAGAGCGGCTGGGATCCTATCGGGAGGCCAAAGCTCGCTTGCTTGAGCCTCTGCCCCCATCAGAGGCAGCCAGCTTACAGAGAGGGTGCAGTGGGTACTGAGGCTGGTCTGTCCCCAGGCAGGGGTTTTTTGGGGTAGTTTTGTTCCTGCTCATCAGCGTTATTGCCATGAGCCGCAGCTCCTTTAGCAGCCGCGTGCGGCATGGCTGGCGGGTCTGCGGGGGGATGCAGTGGGAAGCGCCCGGCTCCTGGGCAGAGCTCCAGCTGCGGGCTCTGCCTGGGGCGGTTGTGCTGCGGTGGCGGGTGGGGAGAGCCCGAGGGGCTGGCGGGCGCCCCGCTTGGTGCCGCAGCACTCTGCGGCTCAGCTAGGCCAGGGGCTAGTGACTGCCTGACCCCAGGCCGCAGAAGGCATCTGACTGTTGTTTGTACCTGGTGCCTTTCTGGCCCGCCTCTGTGGTACGTGTATTTTAAGACCCAGACCTGGTTTCTTCCAGGATCCAAACTTTAGAGTCCTCAGAGTTCAGAGGAACCTGTTGGTGCCAGGCTTTGCTGGGTTTGCCACTCACTGCGTCTGTTTTGCAACTCTTTGATAGCTTTCTACACGAGCAAGTACGGCTACAAGATGTGTCTGCGCATTTACCTGAACGGGGACGGCACCGGGCGTGGGACCCATCTATCCCTGTTCTTTGTGGTGATGAAAGGACCCAACGACGCGCTTCTACGGTGGCCCTTCAACCAGAAGGTAGGTTTGGGACAAAGCCGCTGTGCCCAGCAACGCGCCTCTCTAGTTTTGCCCCCACTTGAGCTTCTAGACGCCATCGGTCTGGCCTACTTAGCAAGCAGAAGAAGGAAGGACTTTGATATGTCGACCGCCCTGGGGATTCCCCAGTCATGCTGAAAGCACCGAGCGTGCTACAGGGTAGGGGCACGAAACGGCAGAGGCTGCGGCAGGAGAGCAGCGGCGTGTTTGGAGCCTCTGCGTGAATCCGGGGCGAGGGAAGGTTGTCGTGGCCTCGGTACTGGGGGCGAAGCTGATGCCCACTTGGCGTCAGAAGCTCAGATTGCTGTTCCTGGACAGTGCAGGTTTGCGAAACACTTCAAGGCTGAGCGAGCGAAGTACTGATGCAGAGAGAGGGGCCGCCTTTTGCAAGGGGACAGCAGCCCTGCAGCTTCATTAAGTACCCGCGTGGCGTATTGGTGTTGGGAGCGAATGCCACGCCGGCCAGTTGTAGGTTTTCAGAGTCGGGCTGCCAGCCCTGTGCTGCCACACAGAAGTTTCCAGTGACAGGGCAGGATGTGGGAAGGTTTCTGCAGAATGTCACCAAGATGACGTTCTCCGCAGACCCTGCTTACAGGCATTTCTCAGATTTGTAGGCGCGTGATGTGGCTATGGTTCCATTGGTACTTGCACATTTCACAGGCTTCAAGCGAGCAGGTCACCGGCCTGGGTTTCCACGTGCTTTTTATTCAGCTTGTCTTGTATATTTTCACATTTCCCCGCAGGTAACCCTGATGCTTCTGGATCAGAACAACCGGGAGCACATCATCGATGCCTTCCGACCCGACGTGACGTCCTCCTCCTTCCAGCGACCCATCACGGAAATGAACATTGCCAGCGGCTGCCCGCTGTTCTGCCCCGTCTCCGTGATGGAAGCCAAGAACTCCTACGTGCGTGATGACGCCATCTTTATTAAAGCCATCGTTGATCTCACGGGCCTCTAACCCTCCTCACCTCCAGGAGCAGCGAACACAGAGCCAGCTCTGAGTGGGGCATCCCCCTCTTGTGCTGCACTTCAGGCAGGTCTCGGAGCGAGGAGGGGGCAAAAAGCGGAAGGGGAAAAGCCCTTCCCGAAAAGGGACCTTCGCTCTGAGTGGAAACAAGGTGTCTGACGGGAACCCTCTTCCCTGGTGTCCGAGAGACCTTCCCTGAGAAGAGGTTTGGGTGGACGTTCATGGTCTGCGGGGTACAAGATCATCTCCCGCAAGGACTTGGGTGTCTGAACTGCCGCTGTCTGGGCTCCTAGTGGAAACCAGTGCAGCTCTTGTTCTACCAGTTTAGTGCACAGCCTCAGTGCTCTGTAGTAAAACAAGGGTTTGGCCTGCCCGAGCACCACCTCGTGTGGATGTTTGGCTCAGCCGTCTAGGATTTTCCTCAGAGATCTCTGTGTTCCTGGAAGTTTTGTGTGCTGCAGGGGTGCCGTTGCTCTGCGCTGCTGGCTGGTTTGTGCCTCGGCGGACGGGAAGGGTGTGCGCAGGCTCGGTGCAAGCGGGACGAGAGAGGTGCGAACTGGTTTGCCGCTGGTTTGGTGCCATCGGTGTCTGCAGAGAGGGGTGCTGAACCCAGCTGTGCGGCAGGCGGGGGAGCGGTGCCCCGTGTCTGGCCCTCGCTGTGTGTTTGTGCTCTGCGGGGGGCGCGGGACGGGGCAGGCGGTGCCCGCTGCCTGGCAGGGAGCCTGGGGCAGCACCGCGGGGGCCCGTAGTGAGAGAGGAGTGAATCTCCCCTGGGGCTGCCCGTCCTGTCCTGGGAGAGGAAGGGGGCGCAGGGCTCGGTGCAGGACTGCAGCTCCCTGAACCCTGGGAGCCCTAGGCAGGTTTTTAGCCAGACCCTGCCATTTTCTGCCTGCCTGCGCCCGAGCAGCGGTGGGCAGGACAGTGGCAGTGCTGGAAGCTGTCCTTACGCACACACAGAAGCTCCTGAGCTGGCTTTCAGCCCCATGACGGGGCACCAGGCGCACCAGCCTTCCCAGGGCCCTCTGCAGCGGCCGAGCACGTACGGCTGCAGCTCCACTGCCATCTGCGCCCGCGCTGCTGCCGTCCACCCGCACGGGCACTCGCCTCCGCAGCTGCGGTGCTGACGGAGACGGCACGTCTCTTGTCCGCCTGTCTGGTGGGCGGCTGCTGGCCAGCCCCTGCCCTCCCCCCCGCCTGCCTTGCCCGCCAGCGGCAGCGTTCCCCTGTCCTTCCCTCGGCTCTGGGAACAGCGTGCCTGCCGGTTCCCGGTCATTGCACACTGGAGCTCTCTCTGCTTGGCTCCTCATTGAGCCGCCAGCCACTCGAGTAGGACCTGGGGTGGCTGGAGAAGTCCCCAAGTGAAGCTTGCTGTCCCTTTTTTTGTCCCTGGGCTCCTGGCACTGCTCCCTTCTGGGCAGCAAGGGTTCAGCACCCACGAGAAGGTCTGTATTTGTGAAAAAACTCCATCGTGGCTGGCCGGTCCCTCTGGAGTTGGTTTGTTGTGGCCATGAGTAAGCCTGGAGGGGCAGGGAGCCAGGCTGGAACCTTGAGGCTCTGCTGCCTTCTCTGCCTGTGCTTCCCTCCCCTGTGTCAGCGTCCGGACGTGCCCCAGGAGTTGGTTTGTTGGTCACAGGCACCAGCTGCTGCCCCCCCCTTGCAGTCCAGGGTCCTGTCCAGCTCCCGTGCTGCTCCTCCAGCCAGGAGGGTGGGCAGCGAGGCTGGAGAGCGCTCACGCTCACCCTCTTCTTGCTCTTGGCCGCCATGGATCGCCCTCGGCAGGGAGCGGCGGCCGCTGTTGGCAGGCCCAGGGGATGCGAGGCGGCGGTGGAGGAAGGCCCAGAGCCCCTCTCTGCTGGCAGCACCCAGCCTGATGGACGCAGAGCCCACCCTGCTTCTGCTCTGCTTCCACCTCTGCTCCAGCACGGCCGCCCTGGCCATCGCTGGAGACGAGCTACGACCCAGCCAGGGCCCGGGGAGCCCTGCCAGGGCCGGCTGTCCCCCTGCGCGGTGGCACTGCCCTGGCTGCTGGCTCCTGGGGTGTTTTGGGGCGTCCCTGCTGCCGCCTGGGCAGCTCGGGGGGTGCCTGGTGCCCTGCTCCAGGCTGGTGGGCAGCTGAGCTGGACCCTGAGCCAGGCTGGACCTCCTGCACCCGAGGGTGATGTGCCGGCCAGGAGGCTCTCCCTGCCCTGGAGCCCCTCTGAAGCCTTGGTGTGGATCGTGCCGTGCCTGGTGCGTGCAAAGGCCATGGCCAGGGGCAAACTCTGCTGTTTCAGCAGGGGCAGGGGGACGGGAGGCTGCGCCAGCGCGGCCGGGGTCGGCGCAGCGGCTGTGGGTGAGCCTGGGGTGCCGCTCAGGCAGGGTGGGCTTGGAAACCTCCTGGCATGGCTGCTGCAGCCTGGGAAACGCGAGGGCTGGGGTGCAGGCAGGGGCCTGCCCGTTTCTTCCAGACGGTCGGTGGCTGTGTGTCCGCCTGCAGCTGCCCCTCACGGAGCAGAGCGGGTGGGCAGCTGCCTGCGCCCTGCCTTGCTGCCGCTGCCCCCGGGGCCCCTCGCCGCTTCTCGCAGGACCCTTCCTGTGTGCAAGCCCCCTTCCAGCCCGGCCCGAGGGACGGAGCGAGCCCTGTGTTGCCACTCTCACCCTCTTGCCTTAGGAGGAAGATACAGCCTAGCGAGGCCCCGCTCCCACCCGCCGCAGCTCTCCACAACCAGGCCCAAGGGAGGCTCCCAGCCCAGAGAGGCTGGGAAAGGCCTGGAAAGGGGGAGGAAAATCAGCTCCGCTCATTTAGCGGTTGGGAATTCAGTGTGTGACACGGGGGGAGCTTGCTCTCGGTGTATTTGCTCTTGGGGTGCTGGACACCCGCTGCCTGCAGCGGGGCCGGGTGGCTCTGGCCAAGCAGTGCCGGGGGTGCCCGCGGAGTCGCTGGCTCAGCTGGGGGGGTCTGGGCTGTTTCGGGGCTGGGTGCTGGGCCTCCTGCCCCAGCAGGTGCCCGAAGGTGGGTGGGAGAGCCCGCGCTGCGAGCAGAGATGGAGCTGGCCCCGTCCAGCCTGCGGAGGGGACGCCGGGGCTGCGCTGCCGTCGGAGCCGGGCACGGCAGGGGAGGCGCAGAGCCAGCGGCTCTCCCCGCGTGGCTGAGGAGCGGCAGATCTGGTGCTGCCCACGCTGGCTGGGCCTTTGCCATTTCTTAGCAGCGGTGCCGGTCGCGCGCATCCCTCGCAGCCCGTGCGCTGCCGGCGGGGGCACGGGGCCGTCCTGGGCACAGCTCCGCCAGCCTGGCACACGGACGCTTGGCACAAGCCACCGCTGGGTTTTTTTGTGCTGTTTTTGTTTTTTTTTTTCTTTTTTTCCCTTTTGATCACAGCTATCGGAGAACACCCGCCAGCCTGGCACTGTGAAGTAAGTTTGGTTTTTTTTTTTTTTCCTTGAGGATGTAGTGCAGTCAAAGCCACTAATAAAGGCCGTTGGAAGGGCAGCGTTGGTGTATAATCCGTGGGACACCGGGGCTGCAGGGGGTGGGAGCGGAGCAGGGGCAGGAGCGCCTCGGCGCGGGGGGAACGCTGCGGCCGGGGGGGGGGGGGGGGCCGGGCCCCGCCCGGCTGGTGGGGCGGGA